TATTTATGACAAAACCCAAACAGGGTGATGCTTCCAAAATATCACACTTGGTCTATAGATGACTCTGCAATTCTCCCTAGCAGGCAAGAGTATGCATGTGACTAATTAAAACAGTTATCTAAAATTCAAGTACATTTATCACCAAAAGAGGTCTGACATCTTCACCTGCTGCTGGACTAAATAATATACTACTCACTACGAAGTCTCATGAAGGAAAAGCCTCCAAGCCAACTTCTTTCTGCAGCTCCACTCCCTCCACCTCCTGTGTGAAGTCATTCAGGCTTTCTTTCCTGTAATGTACAATCTTTCCCTCAGGGGAGGTGGCTCATAATTCGGGTTTCAAGGGGCTTCTTTACATGGTGAGGCAACAGAAAAAAAGAGATTAAGGAAACAACAAAGGAAGCAAACTGTTTCCATTATTGAATGAGAAGTGAAAATGAGTATGCATATACTTGCTAACCATTAAATGTGAGATTTCCCAAAAACAGGAATGCCTGCATATAAAGATTAATAACAAAAAAGCTGAGAGACCACACTGGAGATGGTCAGGGATCTAGTCAGGGATTTCTGTTTCATCTTAATAAACCGAGCAAAGAGGGAATGAAGTGGGGGTTTGGCAGGGGCGAGACACCTGTTGTGAAAGCCAAGGCTTGCTCTAGGGGTAAAGAGGTCTAAGACCAGGGGTCTACCTCAAGGCAGGAACAGGAAAGGGAAGGAGCAACAGAGGAAAACCTCCCAGGGCCTTTTCCCATTCCCTTGTGTTGCTTTTCCCTCAGTTCAGAGGCAGGGACACAAGCATTTCCAAATGGCTCCAGAACAAACAAAGCAGCCAGAATTCCTAAGTGGAAGCTCAATGAGCACAAGTCCCCCATTCAAGTTCATTCCTTTCCTAGAGCTCAGAAGATAATCAGCTCCTCAGAAGAATCTAGAAATGCAAAAGAGACTCTGGCTGCACCATCCAAACCCACTCAACTCTGCTCCCACTATGGGTCCATCCTGTCCTCTGCTGTCCTCTGCTTTCCTCAGCTTAAAGGGGTTGAGAAGGGATAACAGACAGCATCCTATCCACAAGGCAAATCACTCAGTCACCCCTGTCAGTTCAGCCAAGTATACTGGAGTGAGGGGAGAGGCAAGAATGAAAGAAGGGACCTCAGAGCACACTATGCTTTCTACCAGAATTCAGTGGGATTCTCATTCAAATCCCTTTCTTCACTTTCCTTTGAGTAGCTGACTTCCTGTCAGTGGCACTATTAAAAATTTGTCAAGACAATGCACATAAGGAAATAAAAACCAATTCATTAGAGATTGAAGAAGAAAGAAGGAAGTAAATTTGCTTTTTACAGTAAAACATAGCTTATCCCTATCAACCTAGGTTAGTATGCAGAAAGTGTGGCTATTAAGAATTTGACTTTTCACTGGGATTCTGCCAAAGACATTACATAAAATTTTACTTTCTCAGCAGAAGTCAAGTAATTAAACAAAATAAATATTAAATCTAGTTGTTTAAGATCACGACAGCTTCCAACACACCTCTCACTTTCAGTTAGGAACAAATTCCAAATGTATCATAAAAATTAAAGGTTATCCCAACTACATATTTTTAACATACATTTAAAGAATATATTGAAACCACATTTCACTGTGAACATTGCCATTGGCTTCATTTAAGTCTTTGTTAATTATTGAAATGGTTAAAATGGCTTTATTTAAATCTTCACTTGATCTTGGATGGTTAAATTACAAATGAATAAAATACAACATTCCACATCAATAAGCCAGTTTACAAAGTTTCAATGAAAAGCTTATTTCAATGATAATTTTACTGCTCTTCTTTGATTTCTGGAAAGTAACTTATAGCCTGATTATTTTTAGAAATCTTGCTTTCCTCTAAAACTGAGCCTGACTATGCCATCTAAAAAGGAGAAGCCAATATTCACTATCAAACAACATTTTTTAAGCTCACCTTTTTATTGAGATATCAAGAACCTATTTCATAATATAATAATTACTTTAGTGCTTATTAGAGTAATTATTGTATTATGACCAAAACTTCCAGGCCTCTAATATTATTAACAATCACATAGCAAGTTTGAAGGCTAGCCACTTAAATGGTGCTAAGAGTATAAATATGAAGAAAAGCTTCCCTAATACTCCATAAGGAAACCATCATATCAAAACATGGAAAGGTGTGCTGCTCTCTCAAAAAGTCACAGACTTGATTCTCTTCATGTTTTCTTTGAAAAGTAAGGGTCTCTAACTAGAAGCTGGAGAATAAAATTTAATAAGAAACTCAGCACAATGGCTTCAGAATAACCACAAACTTTCATTCTCCACACATTTATTTAAGGCCCATCTAAAGCATGCCAGGCAGGTTAAAAATAATGCATTTATGTAAGCACCCCTGCACACATACTCTTGCAAGGTTAAATAGGGAACTCTGAAAGAATGATTTATTGCCACAAGAACAAGGCCCCAAAATAGATTAGCAATAAAAGTGATTGGTCCCAGTGGGGTTGAGAACTAATGTAAGCAACGTCCTGGCCATGCGAAGTATCCGGGAAAGATCACCAGAATCAAGGGCCAGAATCCAGGGTGAGCTTCCTGGCCCTAACCCCTCCTCTACCAAACTCCACTCACACAACCTCCTCAAGAATGTGATTCTTCAACTGTAAACTACGAGGGGTGGGGCAGAGGGGACAATTAGCTCATTTCTATAACATCATTTTGTTTGTTTGCTTTTTTTAATTTTACTTTTTGCTTTTGCTTTGAAATCTGCTTTATCTTATTCAGTGCTGAGCTCTGTACAAAGGAGAAATAAATATGAAGTTCAAATCCACTAACACTTGCAGAAATTCTTTGGCTGCCCTTTCCCACACAATCACTCATCTTTCAACTTCCAACCCACTTTAACACTAACTGGCCTGCCCACTATGTTCCAGGTCTATAAATGAGTGGTCTGGATTGTCAAAATGAATACCAAGTTTCTAGACCAGAGAATAAAATGACAGCGTAAGGGCTCAGACCTTGAGTGAGGTGAATGCAGGTGACTGAGAGCAGAAGGGAAGGGCAACCACTGCTTTGAAACCCAAAGAAAAATGGAGAACAATCCTAATTAGAATAAGTTATACTCTATAAAATGTATATGTCAAAATACACTCAGTCAGGTATATCTAAAAGAACAAATAAATTTGAAAAATAAAATAAATAAGGAAAAAAATGGAGAAAAATGTATAAGTGCTGGGGCTCAAAGGGAACCACAAAGTTCAGAGAAAGGGAGAAAAAAAAAGAAAAAAAAAAAAGTCATCCCCCTAAAAGACACTTTAGAGCAGGCATCCTCTCCCCAGCACCCAATTCCAAATTTTGGCAAGTGGCAGCAACTCTGCTTGAACACTTCTTCTAATGGAGAAATCACACAGCAGCTCTATTTTTGAACTTCTCTACTTATTTAAAAGTTCTATTACACTAAAGTCTCTCTCCTTCTGTCAACCAAACATGGGTACTAGTTTTCAATCTGTGGCATTAAATATAAATTTAATGCAGGAGGAGCAAAAACAAGGAAAGAAAAGACAGCAGAGCAAACACAGTTTTCGGGCTGAGAAAGGAAAGACAACTGATAGAAAAGCCCTCAACTACAGCACTTTGTCAATCTCAAGGACTGCGCTCAAAAACATTCTGGAAAAGAGGTTCACACCCTCATCTGTCCTCTCCATCAATAAAAATCTATTTTCTGTTTCTGTATCTTAGGAAAGAAAGCTAGATTGTACAGATAGACCTGGCTGCTTCCTTATCTTCAGCATCCACATTCAATCAAAACTACCCAGGAGGCCCCTGTCTCCCAGAAGAGGTCTCCACCCAGGGCCCTGCGGCTTGTTCTGTCCTGACAGTTCAAACCCCATGCCTACATATCCAACCTATCAGCCCTTCTCTACCCTCTGCTAGACATCCCAAGCCTAGACCTTACAGCCAAGATCTAGAGCAGGGATTAAAAGCTGCCCAAAACAGAGAAAAGCCTTGTTGTTGTTGTTGTTGTTGTTGTTTGTTTTGTTTTGGAGGGGGCAGGAACTCAGCAGTACTTGATCACTAAGCCACATCCCCAGACCTATTTTGTATTTTATTTAGAGACAGGGGCTCATAAGCTGCTTAGTGTTTCAACATTGTTGAAGCTGGCTTTGAACTTGAGATCCTCCTGCCTCAGCCTCCCAAGCCACTGGGATTACAGGCATGTGCCACCGCACTTTACCGTGCTCAGCAGGGAAAAGCTCTTTTTTAAAGATTTCAGATTACCTCTGGAATGGGACACTGGTACCAATGCCTGCTAAAAATCTGTCCTGGCTCCTGACAGTAAGTCAAACTACTGAAAGGGAAGTTTGTCAAGTCATCTTAAGTCATTCTGGAGAGTGAAAGAAAGAAGAAAGCCAATGAACAACATTATATGGTTCTGCTCCAAATTCAACTGGAACAGGAGCCTAGGCAGTCAGGGCAACACAACCAAGAGTAAAGGATATCGTAGAAAGAGCTACACTGAAAGGATACAAGATTTTGGGAAGTCCAGTTCAACTCACTTTCTTCTGGGGCTCTTCAAGCAAAAGAAGAGATTCCTAAGGTATGCATAATAAAGACAGTTTGGTCTCAGGAGCACCAAAAATTCCATCTCCAGGGCAAAGAGACTTTCTAACAGAAAGGAGCTGAATTCTGCAGAATCTATTATTTTGTGACAGGTGGTATAGAAAGAAGACAGGCTAGACTTTAGCTTCAGGGCATGAAGGGAACACGTCATAGCTCTGCTATTAAGAGGTAAGATAGGGCTGCTCTACCAAGCTAGTCACACACGAAAGGGGGGATGGGGACAAAAGGAAAAGGGGATGGAAAAAGAGTTCCACTTGAAGGAGCTAATGTCTTCATAAACCTTTGCTTTCTGCAGGGACCTCACAGGAGTGGGAGCACTCGAGAGTATATTAACCCCAAGCCGACACTACAGTAGGAGTGTGTCATTCCCAGTCACAACCAATCCGTTAAAATGAATCAAAAATAATCCCGCCTGGCAAAGAACAAGAAAAGGAGAGGAAGACAGTACTAAATCACGTTATCTACCGGCACTACTAACTTCTGCCTCTGACCAAGGCCTCCGCCTGCAACTGCTCCTAGTGACCGGAATTGTCGGAACTGATCTCACCGAATCTTGGGAAGCTGATTTTGAAAGAGGCCACCTAGAAACTGAGCCGCCGGTCTCGCGCGCCCGCCCCAGCGCAGACTGCTCCTCAGGCGGGCCCGCTACCCACCGGTCCTCCACCCGGTCGCCACCACCACCTGGCACTAGCCCTGTGCCCGCCCGTCCCTCCGGGCCCCGACCTGGTCCGCCCTCCTGGGCTCTCCAGCGCAGAGCCTGCATCCTCCCGCGCCTGGCCGGATAGGGATGGCGCTCCGGGCTGCGGGCCACTAGGCGGCCGCCGCCGCCGCCTCCACGCGCGAGCAGACAAGACTGGGCGCAGGGAAGCCCGGACGCTGGGACGCTGGCCGGTTATCTGGTCCCGGGTGGGAGGAGGGACCGCCACCGGGGTCCCGCGGACGCCCTGTCACGCCCCCTACGCCGCACACCCGGGCCCCTCCCGCTGGCGGGTCGCAATGCTCGCTTTCGCCGCGGCCACCCCCTCTTCGCCGGGGCGGACACTGAGCCACCTGGCACAGCCTCCACCGCCACACCACCCACGCAGTACCCCGCGAGCTCCGGCCCTAGACCGCCCTCCAGGGCCGTCCCTGGAGACAATGGCTCACTCCGTCGCCCTACTGCTCGACCACAGGGTACTCCGCTCTCCCTGGGCAGCGGATGTCATAGCTGCCCGTTTCACAGAAGTGTAGACCGAGGCCGAGGAGCTCAAAAGCGAGGGACCATGCGGAGAAACCCGGCTGCTAATAGGGTCGAGGAGGGTCCAGGTAAAAATGGGCCAGGGCGGCAGAGAGAAGAGCTCGCTTTCCCCGGCACCAGAGTGGCCCCAGCCCGGTCCACTCCGCCTGAGGGCCAGGGGCCTCCGCCCACGCCGTCCCTGCCGCCGCCTCTTCGGCCCTCTCGCGAAAAAGACAAAGAACCTGCGCCCCAACCCTCGGATCCCTGGCCGCTGAGGACGAGAGGCCGGGGGATTTTTACCCTGAAACCAGGGGCGGGCGCAGGAAAGGCGAGTCAGC